CAGATGAAGATGATGTACCATTCACAGTAATGCTAGAGCAAAGCAAAGATCTTTGTGGTTAAACGTAATACAGAGGTCAGACTGAGGGAGAGAAATAAAAGTGGTGGTATCCTTCCAAGTTTTGTGGGCAAAATAAGTTCCAACTGCACCAGTCACTGAAAAGAGCATGCCCACCAGAGAACAGGTAGCTGCTCAAAATACTATCATATGTGCTCCCTATGTTTCTTGTACTTAGCTGGGTGGGGCTTCAGTATGCCTATAAACTGTGTGCATGGAGGGAAAGGATGGGGATGGTGTCTCCCAAATGTCTTCCACACGTGGCAACAAAATGTGTGGTCACTCACAACAAGGCATGCACATCTCTGATCCCCCTTCTCTTTTCTTGCACATGAAACGAAATTCTTAGCAATGCTGACTTTCGAATCATCATCTCTGGGCATTTGAGTGAAACCATCACTGAGACAAAAGGGGCTGTTCACACTTCTCAAAGTTATTGCTCTCTGCAGGCTCACATAGATCCCTCTGCACTGGTCACACTTCCTTCACATTTTTGAGGCTTTCTTCACAACCATAACAACTAGAGACTTGCTTGAAAAAAAAAATGACAGCTGAGATTCTAGAGAACAAGCCTGTAGAATCAGAGGTACCAGTACAGCTTATAAGCACGTACCAGCTGTTTCCAAATCCTGATGCTGTCATGATGATAACCAATTTAGAAAGCTGTAACTATCTTGCAGGCTAGGGTTCTCAGGAGAGACCTAGGGGGGAAGAAGGGAATATTCTGCAAACTTTTGCAAAAGATGGCAGCCTGTGGTGCACAGCAGTCCCCGCAAAACTTTTGTTAATATATATTATTTTAAAATAATGCATGAAGGAGTAATTCTTCCATTTTTACACCCCACCCTAATCCCTGTACAGCAAACACCCAAAACTCGTTTTGCAAACAGATGCCTCATCCCCACCCCCACTCAAAAAAAAAAATAGTGATGGTGATTTTTGCAGATGCCAGCCAGGTGTCAATCTAAGTCTCACCCACCAGTCTTGGTTGACCTGCCTGAAAAGGATCCAATTAATTTTGTAGTAGGATAATCACCAGCATAAAATGGAAAGGCTAAGATTGTAAAGGTGTCCCCATTTTTTGTGAAGAGGCCTAGTAACATGGAAGTGCAGGGGGTGGGGACCTGATGATCCTATTCCGTTAAAAATTAAAACTATGCTGCAGTATTCTAAAGCAATGGTCAAAACCAGCACAGAATTTAAGGCCAGGGTCCTACAGAATATTGTGCTGGGAGGGGGAAAGGGAGGGAGGGAGGAGCAAACATGTAGGTTGAGTACTATGGGGCTTGGAGAAGCTGTTTTTGCTTTCTTTGTTTATATAAAGGAGAATATATTAGAGAACCAAACTATTAATGGTTATACATATATATATATAGACAGATAGATGTATAAAGAATGAGAGAGAGAGCAAGAGGGAGAGAGAGCATCGTCTCTTCATCTTGGCGTTCAGCAGAAATCAACTCCCCCACATCAATGCCCTCCCTCCACCCACCCACCTTGATATTCCTCTTCACCACTTCCCACCCATTACCCCAGTACCTGCAGTGCAGCGTTCAAGTGGGACTGGAGGAGCTGCTGCTGCTGTCATCTCTTCGGAGCTGGCAGTCACCTGCCAATCTCGCCCCCACTTCCTCCTCCTCCCGCTTCCCCCACCCCTTGTCAGTGCAGATCTCCCTGGGGATGTATCAGTCTCTCTCTTCTTTCCCCCCCCCCCCACAAGCATGACAAAATAACTAATGTTAACTCAATAATATCCCCCTCAAAGGTTTTTAATTACCAAACAGTTCACAGTGCTTAAGACTCACAAAGACAGAGAGAGAACGGGATGGAGAGAAGGCTAGCAACAGGGGGTAGGGAGAGTTTGGATTGATACAGCTTTCATGCTGAGGAAAATACTCATTTTCCTCAACACAGCAGCTCTGGCACAGGAAGCCTGCAAATTCCCACAGGACACTGCTGTCCCTGGCACCAGGAAAAGACATTTTGGCAGGCACAAAAAGGGGAAAGTGCCACTGTGTATTCAGGAGAGAGGGGTCCTGAACACTTGGAGTCCAAAAGCCACTGTCCACCACAGCAAAAGGAAGTTCTCACACCCTCACACACTGCAGTGACATGCAAACTGGTCCAGGATGATATATATTTATATAGTACCTTTAATGGAAATCAGAAAAAGAGAAGGAGAGAAAATCAGATATGCTTCCAGTATGATGGAATAAAGGGAAAAAATAGAGTCTGGAAGGCTTTTCTTTTCTTTTCGCCTGCAGGAGACATGTCTCAGCTACCCCGTTTTTTTCTGAAAAACTTAGATGATTCAGAGACCTGAACTGAGAGGATTTTTTGGCGCATAACAGAATGGATGAGGGTGCTGAACCCCACAGTTTGCTCTCTCACACAAACATTAGTTTGTCAACACTTATTTAAACTCCCCTAATATTTAAACGGTCTGATTAAGGGTTGCTTGAAAAATGTCAGTAATAAAATATAATTTGCACAGTTTGCTTGATGTCAGAAACTGATTAGTATACTAGATGTCCACGAAATCTTAAAAAAAAAAAAAAAAGAGGAGGTTAAACAAACCCTGAATTTCTTTTGTGCAGGGAAGAGGGGAAAAGGTCCACATTCAGGCCTTTTCAATCATAGAAAGGCATATAAAGATAGTCTTCTCTCTTCTTTGGGTCACCTTAATGCAAAAACACTGACTTTTCAACCAAAGAATAAATTCAAAATCCCAGACTGGTTATTGATGATCCCCATAAGAGTGAGTGAAGAAATAAGACTTAAGGAGAAAAGCGCTCTCTTGCATATGGCAAGGATTGATTCTGCCTTGCTGGAGGGCGCTCTCACGGTGGAAGCTATCCTGGGGCAGAGGCGTAGGTGACAGTTCTCCAGGAGAGGAGATATGCTTGATTAGGAGGAGGCCACACTTGTGGGGAGGGCTACACAGAGGAGTGGAAAAAAAGAACAAACTTTTCCTGGGAGCTGATGATAGAAAGGAAACAGACAAACTTGCTTGGATGGCAGGCATCAATCAAAGACAGCTCCAGTGCAAACTCCCAAGCCCTTTGGGAGGGTAGACTGGAGGAGTCCAGGAGAGGAGGGGGTAGGGGAAATGAGGCACAGGGAGTCTGTAAAATCTCTGGCAGCCCCCTCTTCCCCGGGGAAGGCGCTGGCAGTTGAGAGAACCCCCACTCCACTGAAATAAACAGCAGCCTTCCCAACGCTTCATTAAACTAACACAGCTTCCCGCCATCGCCCCGGCAACCGACACAGACCTCCTGTTTGCCAGCTGGGGGGATTAAAGGGAGCCTGGCAGCCAGCCCCCACTCTGTTATCTTCCAAAGCTCACATTACACTGTCAGAGAGCATCCAAGGCAGGGCAGGACACAGCCTCTGAGGTGCCATCTTTCAAAGGAGACATGACATTAAAAAGAGCTCCACTCTGCCCTGTTTTTGGCTAGCTGCTGTTCCCAAAGGAAATTAAAGACTCCCTCCTGCTACTTTTCCTTGTGCACAAGGATATTGCCGGTGTGGTGGTCAAGCTTCCCTCTCTCTCAGCCAGAGCGGTTTTAATGTACGAGATGCACACAAGCAATGGCAGAGGGCAGGAAAGAGCTGCCATGTTTGCCACCCTACCCTGCCTTCTATCTCGCTTCAGGCTAACATGGCAACTAACCTCTCTCTACACGTTTGCCTTGTGAGGGGTTTCCATCTTAGCCCTTGGCTCAGACTTCTGTCCATACCAAACACTTCATTGCTGCATTTACACGTCACCCGGGGATCCAGGGGTTGTGAAAAGCACTACCAAAAGCCCAATTCCGTTCCACCGTCTTAGAGATGGAGCATTTGCTCCCCAGCTTTACAGTACTCAGAGCCCCACTCTCACACAGCACTTCCCTCTTGTTCCCTAAAAGGCACACGATAAAGCCTTCTTCTCCAACAGGCATCTGTCATTTCTATGCCAAGAGGTTAATAGCAGTCCAGCCCAGCTCCCTGCATTCTGCATCACTGCATTACTCCTTTGCCCTCCTGATTACAAAAAAGAGAGAGGTTAAAAAAATGTTCAACTGCCCCTTTATTGTTCTTCCTCAGATTAAAATAATCTAGTGAATAATTTAGATTCACAACATCCTCCGGCAGTGTGGTAAACCTCAGGTGCAAAGGCACCTTCCATCCCCACTGCACTCGACACATCCTCCCACTCAAATGGACAGAGGGCTCCTTCAGGCAACAGAGAGAAACCCCTCCGCACAGCCTCTGAGGAGGAGGTGCTCAACTCACCTAAATCCTGATGCATCAAAAATTAAAAGGTCAACTGTTCTGAGGCAGGAGGAAGAATAAAAGGAAAACTCCCTTCTCCCACCTCATTGTCGGGCCTCACGTTTCAGCAAACACCTCTGTGAAGGGAGGTGAAGGGCTAAGCTGTTAGGACTACATACTAGCTTCAGCATGGGGTCAACCACATATCTAACAGTACAAGGACTGCTTCCAGCACCCACTAACACCACTGTTAGGCCGTCTACATGTCCCTTCCTTTGCAGTCAGGACATCTAGCGGCAGACAGCAGCCTCCACTGCCAAGCAGCCAGAACACACGCACACCCATACATCTCATGGCTGTTACAGCAGCTGTGCTGGCAGAGTGCGAAGTGCACCCTGGGAAGGCACCAGCTGGTCAAGGGACCATGGCAGCCAGTAGAAGGCATGGCACTGTCTGCATACACCTTTTGAGAGCTGCTGGACAGTAGCAGAAGCCTCTCTCCCCTAGGCATGCTGGGGTACCTCTAGTAGTAGAAAGGAGGGTCCTGCTGGAACAGAGAAATTCTGGGTATGAACGCAGCTGGAGTTCAGCCACCACAAACTTTGTTGTGTAAACCAGGCTTTCACTTCACCAGCATAAGACAGCCACAAAGGAAGTTTGCTGAGCCCCAGAGGGGAGGGAAATACCTCATCATATTACAGCAGCTGATGCAGGAGCACTGTTGAGAAGTTCTGGAGTCCAAGCCTCTTTTGTCCTGTCTTCCATGATTAGCAACTGTAAAGGGGAGGGAAGAGTATTTATTCCAGTTCTCTGCCTTGTCAGCAGGGATCCTCCAATTTAAAAAAATCCCCAATTTTTGGTTAAAATAAAGTAACCCCAAATCCACATTTTTCCGTGATTAAAATAAAACACCACTATATACTGGTTTTTTTAAACCGAAAGTGGGGATTTTTTTTAAATCAGAGAAAACCAGGATCCCTGCTCGTCAGATACCAGTGTTACTAGCCCATTTCAATCCTGACTAGCAACACACACTGCACCTCCATCCTCATCTTCTGCAAATCTAGCTATTTCTATCTTTAGGCCACGTACAGGTCCCACCAGGGCATTTCAACCCTGCCTTAAGAAATCCATGCTAGTTCCAAACTTCTACTGAAAACCTTGCATGCCCTACCCATCTTCTATTTGCAACAGCACTATATTAATATAGGCATATATTTAAATGTCAGGAAAAGGCAATAACTATGTTTTAGATTCTAGCCACTTCTTTATTTGCCAGAGGTGGTAGCACCTAAAAGTTTTCATTTTTCATAGTAATTGCATGACAACACATGCTTCCCATGTGTATGCGCTCATGCGCAGCATGTTCAAGCAACCCTACAATAATAAACTTGAGCACAAAGCCCATCTCTCTCGTGCCAAAAAACAAGAGATGGTGCTCACAGCTAGGTGGGTTGATGAACGATTCCATAGATCAGTGCACAAAGTTGGGAGGTGGAAAAAAACAATGAAATAGCTCTTTTAGTATGAAGATCCTAAGAGAATTGCTATAAAAAATAAGAGAGACAAGTTGTTTGGTTTTGTTGGGGGGGCAAGGTTTGGAGGGGAAGGGGAAGCAAGCTGCATGTCTCAGTCTCATTGCTCTTAACAATGGTGAAATTGATGAGAATGTTGCTTTCACTTTAAAGCAGGATGTCAGGGAAGCCTTGCAAACAACTGCAAAGGGAATTCATGAAGAGGACAAAACATATACAGACAGCATTGTATGGTGGGTGTAAGAGAAGATGGAGGTTGTACTGTTATCAATTCTCATGATGTTTAGTGTTTTTCTTACAGCCTCAGCTCCCAGAGTCCTCATTAAAAAAAAAAAAAAAAAAAAATGAAAGCAAGTTTCTAGCCTTCCCATTTGTGGAGCAAAGCTTGGAAATGAGACAAACAAGGGCTCAAACACCAGAAGATAAATTAAAAAAAAAAAAGTGTTTATTTATTTGTTTTAATCTCCATTATTTTAAGCAAGTCTCATGATTCTGCAGGTCTGGCTACACTGAGGGGATGGGACACCCAGATGAGACTTGCTTGTGCTGTGCCCTGTCCCTGGGAAGTGGAACCTGTTGTCACAATCAGTACTGGCTCCTTTCCTCAGGTGAAATTCTCAACCGAGTTTTTGTCTGCTCTTGCCTGGGCTAGTTCAGCTTCCTCCCCCCCTCACCCCTCCCAGACCAAACAGATCTAGGCTTCCAGACTCGAAAAACCTCAATCTGTGGAATGCAGAAAGGAAGGCAGCAGAGTTCGTACAGTCTAAGCCTGGGCTACCTCCTCCTGCTCCCACACCCAGGGCTGGATTTCAGCCTGGGAGGAGAAGCCTTTCCCAAGTCAAGAGGGCTTGAAGGCAGGAGCAGGGGAGGTGCTGGTCTCAGCGTGTGCACCATGCTCTTCTCTCTCAGTGCTGCCATACATGATTAATCGTTTCTGAGGCATGCCTGCTGCTCCCCTCTGGCTCTCAAACAATCACAACAGCAAAAGCAGCAGCAGCAGCAAGCAGAGAAACCTCCTCAGGTTCCTGGCCCTGGCCTAGCAAGCATCTCCCAATGGAGGCTTCTGATCCTAAAACACATCTCTTCCCCTTACACACACACCAGCCTGCCTCATGGCCTTTCAATTAAACTATACCCTCCCCCCATTTTCCAGCAAGACTCTTCTCCCACCCCTCCCCCAGCCCCCATCCATCTGTGTCTAATTGCATTTCATGTGTATTCATTCTCTGGAAAACTCACCGGGAAGGTATCCAGAAGACTAGCACAAGCTTAAACACGCGCTTGACACAGAGAATGGGAAACAAGTCTTATTGTATGATACAATGTGCAGTCCAAGTGGACTGAGCCTCTATTGCTCACCTCTCCCCTCATTCCTCTGATTTGCCCTTCCCGTATTTCAACCCTGCAAGCCCACCATGAAGCAGTGAAATGCCTGCCAGGCTAGGAGTGTGTTGGTAACCAGCACAGGAGCTGGGAGAGTTGGAGAGCTGCCAAGCATGGGTCAGTGAGGAACACAGAGTGGAACTGCCATGGGCAGAGGTGAGATTTCCCTGCTGCCAGCGCCAAGCTTGACAGCAGGGAGCTCTTATCTCCCAGCCTGAACAATACAGGAATTGATTGTACAAAGGCTGATGTCTGTCACTGGGGCAGAAGAGGTGGAAATCAGGGAGCACTACAGGAAACCAACAGGCTTCAAAGGGTCACCTCACTGTCTTCTTTCAGAGGCCCTGCCCTCCTTTTCCCCCAGTAACTCTGTATTAGTCACTGATTGCTATTCCAGTGTTCAGATTCTCCCCTACAGCTCTGCCAATGATTGGCAAACCTGCAGCCCTCAGCTATTCCAGCCACAGCACACCACATGCATCTGCTAATGCCCCTCAGTCCTGCCCTGCACCACCTCTCTGCTATAACTGTCTCAAACATTGTTTTGCACAAACTGAAAGTATTATCTAAGGCAGGAGTGTCAAAGCCTATGGCCCACAGAGCCGTTGTATTCGGCCCACCCTGCTCCCCGCGAGTCACCAGAGATTGAGGGCAGAATCCAGAGCCCTTGGGTCCTGAGGGGGACAGATTCAGGAGGGAGAGCAAGGGCTGACAGCTTTGGTTGCCCTCCCTCTGGCCAATTTGCCTGTCACCACTGTGGTGGCCCCAGCTCCTGAGCCACTGGCCCCACTGCCCCTGCCACCATGCCAGGCCCAGAGCCTGAGCTGTCACTGCCCTGTACTCTGTGCCAGAGCTGCTGCCCCAGCTCTGGCATGGGGCACACAGCAGGAAAAAGAGCAACTGCCATCACTGCTGCCTAGCGCACTGGGAGAGAGCTGGGGCTGCCGCTACCGCCACTGCAGCCACCCCCCATGCCCTGGGCTGGATATGGCCTGCAAGGAGTCCCAGGGTCCAGATCTGGCCCCAGACAGGAAGTGAGTTTGAGAATGCTCCTGATCTAAGGACTTTTCTATGCAGGAAAGTTTGTGCACAGTAAGCGAAGGTTTGAATTCTCTGCTCATTGGTTACTCTGCAGTAATTCTCCATGTGGATGCACTTACTCTACTCCCCACCCTTGCTAAGCATTAGGAACATCCACACACAGAATTAGCAGAGGATATCCATAATAATTTCCCCACATAAACCAGCCTTAAGCTTGTGGTGGTTTTGTGAGGCAGACAGTATTTCTTCCAGAAATTAAAGAGAAGTATGTTCTATACTCCTACAACTTCTAGCCTTAACTAGTAGAACTCCAAGCTACTAGAAGTGAGCAAATGAACTACTACACCCATTAGGCCACCTTCTGCCCCAGCCCTTTTCCTCCCCCCACTTTAAATATAAAAGGCAGGCATTGCTCTTGTAAGAAACTACAGATTTACTTTCTACAGGTCAACACCAACCCAGCCCCATACAAGCTCCCTTCCTGGACCTACATCTAACCTTCCTGGACCTACATCTAAGCTTCTCTCCTCAAACAGCTAAACTGATTGTTCTGTTGGTATCTGGGACAGAGAAAAGTTCTCTGGTGAGGTGGACCATAATACAGGGATAGCTCCAAGGCTTTTCTTTCCATTAACCTGTTCTTCCATCCCAAGGACTGCTCATCAACAGCAATTTAGCTATGCCAGTATCAGGTTTAAGTTAACCCTGTGGTACTGCCAGAAGCCAAACACTAAATGCAGTCTTCAGTACACTAACACTTTATACTCAAGTAGATGTGCAGAGCCCTAAAGATCAGGGGCCAACTAATAGCACAGAATATTTTTCTTCTTCTTTCCTCTTTCAAAAATGTTAAATGAGTCTTGCACTAGCCCAAAGTACCACATTGTCTGTTTATTCTCAGGAACAGACACAACACAAAGGAGAAAAATCTACTTCACACTCAGGATGGAGAGGGGAAAAAGAAGAATGGTTTTCTCCAGTAAGACATGGAACTGGAAATCCAGAGAGCTGGCTTTAGTTTCCAGCTCTGCCGCAGACCTCCTGTGTGACCTTGAACAAGGCAATTCACCTCTCCGTACTTCATTAAAACGAGAATAATAATACTATTTTCTCTCTCAGGAAGGATAAATCCTTTCACGTTTGTGAAGCACTCCACCAGTCATGATGAGGGTCATACGAGTACTGAAGCAGACAAACCACTCTCAACAGCATGCTTCGACTGTGACTTCACGAGGCAGCCACTAGAGCAGAGTTCCTTACTGACATTAATCCACCAGAGAAATTACAACCAGTGGGGGACTAGATAGCACAGGACTACTGATGGACTATGGCTCCCTTTCACCTACGGATAACCAGTTCCAATCCAACCAGGGGTGGGAGCAAGCCAATATTGTTATTATCACCCTTCAAAGTTCAATGGCACATATCAAATAAGTTCAGTAGTTTTCATCCTAAGTCCTTCTGGACAAGAGTCCACATCTCAAAAACTACCATTCCCACAAAACGGTGTCAACTAACGTCCTTTTTAACAATTTCTGCAGAGGCCAGTAACTGGCCATAGAGACTCTTGTCCTCTCGCTGCTAGAAGTGGTCTATTCCATGTCATGGAAAATTTCCCTCTAACAGGAGGGGAAGCTCTCACTGGTGCTACCCAGAGTATCAGTTCAGTATCTTTCTTTGGAACTGAGGTCCTTTTCTTAATCAGAAAAAAGAAGCATGCAAGGTAAAGAGAAGAGTGTGTGTGTGCGCATAACACACACACACACACATGCAATGCTTCTCTGATACTCAGCATAAAAATCTAATCAAAACTGT